ACTCACCACCAGCTCCATGCAGTTCAGCACCTCTCCCTGCTCATCCAGGATCCTCTGGTAATTGGGTTTGGTGCTGAGCACCTCGGCCTGCGATGTCTGCAGGTAATTGGGAGGCTCCTCCCGGCCCTGTCTGCTCCTGCACTCCTCCAGCTGCCTGGAAGACAAAGCATTTATCCGTTGCACAAAGGAGGCTTCTGCTTTTCTGTTTTTCCATCCAAAGGTTTTGCCACAATTCGTACCTGGATGTTTCCTCTGCATCCTTCTGGTAGCGCTGCAGGAGCTCATCCCACGCCTGGCATTCAGCTGAAAACCTACGGGGCAGAAGGCATTGCTGGCACCATGGAAGGAAGGGATGCCATCAAAAGGTGGGCCTGGGTGAATCTAATGAGGTTCAACACAGGAAAATGCAAAGTTTTGCACTTGGGAGAGAGGAATCCCAGGTGTACACACAGAGTAAGAAGAGCAGCCCTGCAGAGAAGGACCTGGGGGGGTGAAAAGCTGAACATGAGGCAGCAGTAATTACAGCTTGGAAAGCAAATGGGATCCTGGGTTGCATCAACAGTGGGACGGGAGGGGGAGGTTGTCCCACTTCTCTGCCCTTGTGAAGCCCCAGCTGGAGTACTGCTGCCAGGCCTGGGGGGTCTGAATGCAAAAAAGGCAGGGAGCTGTTGGAGAGGAGGGGCACTGAGATGGGCAGAGGGGCACAAAGATGGGCAGAGGCTGCAGCACCTCCCATAAGAAGACAGGCTGAGGGAGCTGGGTTTGTTCAGCCCGGAGAAGAGAAGGCTGCTCCTCAATGCCATCTTTCAGTACTGAAAGGAAGCCTCTCTGGCATATTTAGGTTGGATGTCAGGGGGAAGTTCTTTAGTATGAGAGTGGTGAGGTGCTGGAACAGATGCACAGAAAGGCTGTGGGTGCCCCATCCATTCCTTGGAAGTGTTCAAGGCCAGGTTGGATGGGGCCCTGGGCAGCCTGGTGCAGTGTTTGATATGGAGGTTGGTGGCCCTGCATGCAGTAGGGGGGTTGGAGCTTCATGATCCTTGAGATCCCTTCCAACCCAACCATTCTAAGGTTCTGTGAAGGACAGAGTGGGTCTGCACGCAGCAGGAATCCCCTCTGTGGGGTTAAATTGCAACGTAGGCACACAGAAAGTGAACTGCAGAGAAATAACACACCAAGAAATGCCTTCTAGAAAAGCAGGAAAATCGGTGTTGGACTCCAGCACACACCCAGCCCTCACCTGGTAATGCACTCCTTTGCTTTGCACACTGATTCATCTGAAACAGAGTCCGACGAATCCCTGAAGCAGAGACACAGAGAGATGGGAGTGTTTGTGTATCACACACACGCCACACAGAGCTCTGCAAACGATTAAAACCACACAGAGATTTTTGTCTTTTAGATGACCTCAAGAAAAAAAAATATATATCCCCTTTAAATATCCACTGTGATGTTCCAGTAATGTCATCGGCCCCAGGATGCCTTGTTTACTGTTTGGAAATGGGATATCTAGGCAGGAAAACCTGAAAAATAACAAATAATGGCCTGGAAGTCCTTACCCTTCAGCTTTCTCGATGCAGCTCTGCAGGGTTCCATCCAGCTTCAGTTTCTCTATGTATCTCTTCAGGTCTTCTGAAACTGAGCTCACTGGAGGTGGAAAACAGAGCAACGTGAGCAGCTCTTAAACCAACTGCCCACTAATGCTGAAGAGCAGAGCAGAACGCCAGCTTGCTTCCTTGTCTGAAGGTGTTCAGCTGTCATTTGTGCTGATCTCTGTGATTGTAGCTTAGTGTGTTCATTAACACCCCTCACAGAAACTGTGGTCGTGAACTGGATGTTTAAAAACACCGCTCAGATGATATCAGCAGCACAGGATTCTTCTTCTCCAAGCCAGCAGATCTCAGCTTAACAGCACCCCGATGCAAAGCTGTGCTTTTCACCTCTTTTATAACACACAAAACACAACTCACCTTTGGCTTTGAAGGCCTCGGGACTGAAGCCCTCTGTCTGCTCCAAGATGTGCTCGAGTTTCTGTGCAGAGAACTACGAGAACACAGAGAAGATTTCATCACCCCAAAGCTGTGTGTGCTGCAGGACCCATTAAAGCCTGACTGAAAGTTAACTGTGTTTGTAGGAAGATTCGTTACTGAAGGAGAAATTAATTCCTCCGTCTCTTTTCTGATCTCAATTCTACAAAGCAAAACACAAATGGAAGGTCAGAAAAATAATAATGTTGTGCTTGGACAACAGGGGGGCTGACCTGGAAGCTGGATAAGAGCAGCATAGAAAGGCGATCTGTTTCTGGCAGGTCCAGGCTAATAGCTTGGCTCAATGCTGAAAAACGAGAACAAAATTACTGAGGAATGAGTTGACACCAATCCACGAACATACAAATGTTCTCAGAAAACACTAAAAATGGGTTTTGTTGGATGTGAGAGGTGTGGGAGGGAAAAGAGGAAAGGAGGTTTCCTAAGAGGAAAATTCTACTTGAAGTTCAGCTGTTGAAATAAAGAGGAAGCAAATGTTGGCTTACGGAACCCATTAACAACAATCTCAGGGGAGAATGGCTTTAAGGTGAAGGAGGAGATTTAGGGCAGATGTGAGGGGGAAATCCTTCACCCAGATGGAGGTGAGGAGCTGGCACTGCTGTGGGAGCCCCATCCCTGCATGTGCCCAAGGTTCTGTGACCTTTAAGGACCTTTCCAACCCATTCTAGAATTCTATGGTTCTCTAACCTTTAAAGACCCTTCCAACCCAACTCATTCTCTGGTTCTATGACCTTTAAGGACCCTTCCAACCCAACCCATTCTATGACTCCATGACCTTTAAGGACCTTTCCAACCCAAACCATTCTCTGGTTCCATGACCTTTAAGGACCCTTCCAACTCAACTCATTCAATGGCTCCATAACCTTTAAAGTTCCTTCCAACCCAACTCATTCTGTAGTTCTATGACCTTTAAGGACCTTTCCAACCCATCCTATGGTTCTCAAGAGACTCTGATAAAGAGCAGAACAGCCCCTACCAGTAACATCCTCATGAAAAGGAGGCAGAGATTTCCGACGTTTTGTCCCCTTCAGGCTTGACCGACGCCAAGAGCGGCGTTTGCTCTGAGAACTGTTGGTGTTTGGGCTTTTCAGAGGGCTTGGGCTCTCACGAGATGATTTTCCTGCAGCTGCTTCAGGAGTAACATTCTCCTGGCTAACAGCAGCAAGGTCAGTTGGCTTTGGAGGTTTTCCCAGATCTTTTTTCTCTCCAGAGTCAGGTTCTGTGAGAAACAGGCATAACCAACATGTAAATATTAAAGAACCACAGAATATCTCCAGTTAGAAGAATCCCACAAGGATCACAGAATCTTTGGGGGTGGAAATGACCTCTGGAGATCACTGAATCCAACACCCCTCACCCCTCATCCCTACCAAAAGCAGTTCCCTACAGAAGATTGAGCACTAAAACGTTCAGGTGGGTCTGAATATCCCCAGGGAATGAGACAGCCCCAGCTCTGGGCCATCCTCACAACACAGGAGTTCTCTCACTCACCCCTACCTGGAGCACTCCCATCTGCTGTAAGGAAGGATCCAGCAAGAGAAGTCTGTGGGAAGAACAGGCATTAAGGGGCTTGAAGTGAGATGGCCCCCATTGCTCTCTCAG